AAACACAGGAGAACTGTGGCCCCAGACATGCCAACATCCCAGGCAAAAACAGGGTGAGGGCAGGGATCTAATGGAAGCCTGGGATGCAAGAGGGGAGATTGTTTGCTTATCTGTGAGGGCTTCCTGAACAGCAGCAGGCCTGGGCTCCCCTCTCTGGGAACGAGAAAGCAGTGTGATGCCATTCCCCACCCCACCCCCCCACCACCAGCATGGTCAGACTTCAGAGAGCAAACAGTGTCCCCAGTGGAGGCTGGAATTGCTTACACCAAACCCTGCACCCCTGCACCTGGCAGGTGCATCTTTATTAGGGCAGGTGGACTGTGAGCCAGCACAGTGGGCCTCTCTCCCAGACCATCACAGACCCCTGCATACACCAAGTCTACTGATCATAGAGTGCTCCAAGCATCAGCTTCAGTTCTGGTGGAAATAGGACCAGGCTTTCTTTTTCTTTTCTTTTCTCCCCCCCCCCCCCTTTGGAATCAGGTGTATAGTTGTTTGTTTGTTTGTTTCTTTCTTTCATTTTCTTTTCTCTTTTTTTGGATCATGCTTTTTTTTTCTTTCTTTCTTTCTTTCTTTCTTTTTCTTTGCAATCAGGCTTAGAGTTTTTTGTTTGTTTGTTCTGTTCCTTTTCCTTTTCTCTTTTTTTGGATCTGGATTTTTTTTTTCCAGGCTTATTTTAACAAATCAAAGCACACCTAATTAGAGATCCAAATGCTACCCACTGCAAGTAAGAAGGAACTCTGCAGAGAACTGACCTGTGGAAAAGAGCAGCCAAAATACAATAGTAAAGTGCACACAGCATACACCAGAAAAACACTTCCAGAAGTGCCAGGCCGTGGACAGTATATGGCCCCTTCTTAATATAGGATAACTCTCAGGAACAGGAAACATAACAAGTTTTCATTACATGCAAAGACATAAAGCTAAACAAAATGACAAGATGGAGGAATGCTCCCCAAAATAAAGATCAAGAAGAAATCACAGCTGGGATGGGGGTGGGGGGGGGCACTTGGGTGGCTCAGTAAGTTCAGCATCTGACTCTTGGTTTCAGCTCAGGTCATGATCTCAGGGTCATGAGCTGCTGGAGAATCTCTCTCTCCCTCTCTCTCTGTCTCTCTCCCTGCTCATGCTCACTCTCTTGCTCTAAAAATAAATAAACAAACCTTAAAAAAAAAAAAGAAAGAAATCACAGCCAGCTATTTAGTCAAAGCAGATATAAGCAATATATCTGAACAAGAATTTAGAACAACAGTCATAAGAACAGTAGCTGGGCTTGAAAGAAGCATACAAGACACCAGAGAAACACTTGCTGCAGAGATAAAAGACCTAAAACCTAGTTAGACTGAAACCAAAAAATGCTATCACTGAGATGCAAAACTGACTGGATGTAATCATAATGAGATGGAAGAAGCAGAGGAATGAATAGGTGATACAGAAGATAAAATTATAGAAAATAATGAAGCTGAAAAGAAGAGGGAAAGAAAACTATTAGATCATGAATGTAGACTCAGGGAACTCAGCAATTCCATAAAGCACAGTATCATAGGCATTTCAGAAAAGGGGGGAAAGGAGCATCAGGTTTATTTGAACAAATTATAGCTGAGAACTACCCTAATCTTGGAAAGGAAACAGGCATGTAAGTCCAAGAGGCACAGAAAACTCCCCTCAAAATCAACAAAACAGGTCAACACCAAGACACATCATAGTGAAATTTGCAAAATATTGTTAAATGTCTATACTACCCAGAGCAATCTACACATTCAAAGCAATCCTTATCAAAATATCAAAAACAGCATTTTTCACAGAGCTAGAAAAAACAATTCTAAAATTTGTATGGAAGGAGAAAAGACCCCAAATAGCCAAAGGAACGTTGAAAAAGAAAAACAAAGCTGAAGGCATCACAATTCCGGACTTCAAGCTGTATTACAAAGCTTTAATCATCAAGACAGTATGGTACTGGCACAAAAGCAGACCCATAGATCAATGGAACAGAATAGAGAACAAAGAAATTGACCCAAAACTATATGGTCAACTAATCTTCAACAAAGCAGGAAAGAATATCCAATGGAAAAAAGACTGTCTCTTCAACAAATGGTGTTGGGAAAACTGGACAGCAACATGCAGAAGAATCAAACTAGACCACTTTATTACACCATACACAAAAATAAATTCAAAATAAATGAAAGACCTAAATGTGAGACAGGAATCCATCAAAATCTTAGAGGAGGACATGGGCGGCAACCTCTTTGACCTCGGCTGTCACAACTTTTTACTAGACATGTCTCCAGAGGCAAGGAAAACAAAAGCAAAAATGAACTATTGGGACTTCATCAAGATAAAAAGCTTCTGCACAGTGAAGGAAACAATCAACAAAACAAAAAGGCAACCTACAGAATGGGAGAAGATATTTGCAAATGACATTGGATAAAGGGCCAGTATCCAAAATCTATAAAGAACTTATCAAACTCAACATCCAAAAAATAAATAATCCAGTTAAGAAATGGGCAGAAGACATGAACAGACACTTCTCCAAAGAAGACATACAAAATGGCTAACAGACACATGAAAAAATGCTCAACACCACACATCATCAGGGAAATATAGATCAAAACCACAATGAGATAACACCTCACACCTGTAAAAATGGCTAAAATTAACAATGCAGGAAACAACAGATGTTGGTAAGGATGCAGAGAAAGGGGATTTCTCTTACACTCTTGGTGGGAATGCAAACTAGTACAGCCACTTTCGAAAAGAGTATGGAGATTCCTCAAAAAGTTAAAAGTAGGGGATGCCTGGGTGGCTCAGCTGGTTATGCAGCTGCCTTCAGCTCACATCATGATCCCAGGATCCTGGGATCAAGTCCCACATTGGGCTACTTGCTCAGCAGGGAGCCTGCTTTTCCCTCTGCCTGCTGCTCCCCCTGTTTGTTCTCACACATGGATGTACTCTCTCTCTCTCTCTCTCTCTGATAAATAAATAAATAAATAAATAAATAAATAAATAAATAAATAATAAAATCTTTAAAAAAAAGTTAAAAATAGAATTACCCATTGACTCAGCAATTGCACTACTAGGTATTTACACAAATGATACAAAAACACTATTTCAAAGGGATACATGTGTCCTAGTGTTTATATTAGCACTGTCAACAATAGTCAAATTATGGAAAGAAACCAAATGTCCATCAACTGATGAATGGATAAAGAAGATGTGGTGTGTATATACATATATATACAATGGAATATTACTCAGCCATCAAAAAGAATGAAATCTTACCATTTGCAACAATGTGGAGGGAACTAGAGTGTATTATGCTAAGCAAAATAAGTCAGAGAAAGACAAATACCATATAATTTCACCCATGTGGAATTTAAGAAACAAAATGAACAGATGAACATAGGGGAAGAGAAGGGAAAATAAAATAATATAAAAACAGAGAGGGAGGCAAGCCATAAGAGACTCTTAACTATAGAGAAAAAACTGAGGATTGCTAGAGGGGAGGTAGGTGGGGGAATGGGCTAAATGGGTGATAGGCATTATGGATAGCACTTGTTGTGATGAGCACAGGGCATTATATGTAAGTGATGAATCACTAAATTCTACTTTTAAAAACCAACACTACACTATATGCTAACTTGAATTTAAATTAAAACTTAGAAGAAAAAATGATAAATAATAAATAAATAGAAACAAAATAGAGAAAAATGCTGTAATGTTAAATTTTAATTACAAACATTGATATGAACTCATAACTTTTAAAAATATATTCCTATGTCTGTCCACTGAAAAGAGTCAGAAAGCAAGAACAGTCAGTAGGAATGAAGATATCTAGCCCCTAGGTCTTGATTTCTAATTCTCCACTAATATATACACTGGAATTCCTTGCAAAAACAAAGCTGATTTTAGGTTTTGGAAAGGAAATGCACAGGACAAGACAAGGGCATCTTGTTATGTCAAAAAGTGTAAGAAAGCACTCAAAGACTAAGAGTCATAATAAAAAGACCCAGAGGCCAGCTTGAAGGGGCTTCCACTGGCTTCTGAAACAAATACATACCTCAAAAACAATTATTGTAATGGTTGTAATGCACTGAATAAATAAGTATCCATAAACCCATAATTAAACTCAAGAAAGAAAGACAAAGGAGTGAAAAAAGAAAGCTTTTATTTCATAATAAATGTAAAAGTAATCATGGAAATCAGAATCTTACCACATTTCTATCCCTACTGTAAAAATTGATTTGGGATTCTCAATGAACACTAAAACCAGTGAGTTAAAAATTGTCTTCTGGTACCAAGTCTTTCCCCACAGATTACTTATAAATTCCAAAGCAAAATATGTACCTTTATAATACAGCAACCTAGTAATTACCACCTTAACTAAGTGACCAACCTTGAGTTTCTAACAGCAAGACAACCAGACCTTCAGTGTCTCATCATATGTTGCAATATAAAATATATAATATGTGAAAATATTCGTTCCAAAATGTTTAACCTGTATCTAGTCAAGCCTATAGGCTTAACTTACAATTTATAGACAATATAGGAAATAGCAGCACAAGTTCAATAACACTGTAAGGGAGAAATCAGAAAAGTCCAGAATTTGGGGATTTTTACATGACAACTGGCCTGAACTCTTTAGAAGTCGATGATAACAACAAAAAAGTAAATGTTCTAGATTAAGAAATACTAAATATCCATAATAACCAAATGCAATGCATGAATCTCAATTATATCATGATTCAAAAAAATAAAAATATAAATGACATTCTTGGGACAGTTGGAAAAATTGGACTGGATATTAAATATTAAACTGGATATTAGATGTTTGTTATTTAATATAACAGAATATGAATATGGATTCAATATTAAATAATATAGAACTACTGTTAATTTAGATAACAGTATTATATATGTGTAGGAGAATGTTCTTATTCTTTTTTTTTTAAAGATTTTATTTATTTATTTGAGAGAGAGAGAATGAGAGAGAGCGAGTACATGAGAGGGGGGAGGGTCAGAGGGAGAAGCAGACTCCCTGACGAGCAGGGAGCCCGATGCGGGACTCGATCCAGGGACTCCATGATCATGACCTGAGCCGAAGGCAGTCGCTTAACCAACTGAGCCACCCAGGTGCCCTGAGAATGTTCTTATTCTTAAAGTGATTCATGCTGATGTATATAGGAGTGATTTATGATATCTGCAGCTTACTTTCAAATGGTTCCACCACAAATTCAATATAGAAGAAATAAGGAAAATATGACAAAATGTTAACAATTGTTGCATATAAGTAGAGGGTGTATGGGTATTCACTGAAGTATTCTTTCAACTTTTTGGTGCTTAAAATTTTTCAAAATAAACAGATGCAAAAGAAAATATGGAATTCCATGATGTAATGAGTCCTTGCTAAGAATTACTAGCTATAATCTCTAGTTGCCCCCTTTTTCTTCCTTCTGTAGTTATTCTAGAGTCAAGACATAACACTGATGACTGAAAGAACTTACATTTAGAAGGATGCATGGATGGGGTGCCTGGCTGGCTCAGCTGGTTAAGCATATGACTCTTGATCTCAGCTCAGGTCTTGATCTCTAGGTCGAAAGTTCAAGCCCCACATTGGGCTCCATGCTGGGTGTGAAGCCTATTTAAAAAAAAAAAATAGGTGGGTGCATGGTTTAGGCCTCAGCTATAAAGATTTTAGAAAAACTTAATTTTCTCAAGTAGCCCCCAAAATCATATCATTCAAGCAATGTATGGATGGATTCCTTTATTCACTGAATTGGCTTAAGCATTTGTTAAAGTTTGAGGCATCATTTGTCTCTTGCCAGTATCAAATGAGATATTGGATTGTATCTCTGAGCAATCTGCAGTTTCTATAAATACTTAATAAGATCTACTTTATCTATTAAAAATAGAAAATCATTTGGACTTCGCTAGAAAAAAAATATTCTTTCTATTCAAAAAGAAACAAGCATCTTCCCTGTTAACTCTGTTTTCTAGATTCTACTATTTATTTTAGATTTTATTTATTTATTTGAGACAGAGAGAGAGCATGAGAGGGTGCGGGGGGAGAGGCAGAGGGAGAAGGATAATCAGATTCCCCACTGAGCAGGGAGCCCAATGAGGGGCTCCATCCCAGGACCCTGAGATCATGACCTGAGCCAAAGGTAGACACTTCACTGACTGAGCTACCCAAGTGCTCTTAAATTCTACTACTTTTCTCTTTTTTTATATATATATATATTTTTTTTTTAAGATTTTATTTATTTATTTGACAGAGAGATAGAAGAGCACAAGCAGAGGGAATGGCAGAGGGAGAAGGAGAAGCAGGCTCTGTACTGAGCAGGGAGCCCAATGCGGGACTCGATCCCAGGACCCTGGGATCATGACCTGAGCCGAAGGCAGACGCTCAACCATCTGAGCCACCCAGGTGCCCCAAATTCTACTACTTTTAACATTAAATGAATTTATATCACACAAAGGACCTTGAGTATTCCAGCTTCACATCTTACAGATAAAGACACAGGCCAGCAGAGCTTAAATGATTTGTGCAGGGTCATATAGCTAAGTAGTGGCAAATTATGACTGGATCCAAGGTTTTTTACTTCTGGTTAAAATACAAAGATTTCTACACAGTATTGCTCTAACACTTATTTACTGTGATCTTGGCCAAGTTGCTTAAACTCTCTAAGCCCTGGGGGTACTAAATACTATGGCAGCTGCTTCAGGTGTCCAACCTCACAGCCCCTCAGCCCACCTCTGATTTCAGAAAGCTGTGATGTACACTTCTTTGGGAGTTTAAGGTCATCTTCGGCTGAGTTTTCTACCTCAAACATTCACTACCTGCCCTTCCTATTCATCCCCTTCCCTCTTCTTCTTCTGCATCCAAAGGGAAAAGGATGATCTCTCAGAAGTGAAGCAAGGTCTAGCTATTTATAATTTTGAGATTCATTTTAAAAATGAAATTCTAGAACAAGTTTCAAACACATATTTTAAACTGTGGATGAACGAACATCTTATTTCAACTCCATCCAAGTATTTTTGTTACTAAATGAATAAATTTATTTGAAAATAACATCAAAAATCTAAATGTGAAGACTTTTATGCATATGAAGCTAAAGCAAAAAAAAATCCACCTAATCCAAAGATCTATAGCCTGGGTTCTATTAAAGAATACCTATAGTTCTTCATCTTCTCCACCTCAGCCCTGAGAAGGAAATGAGTAATATTCTGTTTATTTTAATATGGATGCTAGAATGCACTGTATCCCACTTTCCTTCCCCAAATCATGCCTTGCCAAAATCCCTCTCTATTAATAGTAGACTCAATTACAATCAAGTCTCATCATCCACAGAATCCATATTTGCAAATTCATCTACTCACTAAATTTATTTGCAATACCCAAATCAGTACTCAGGGCACTTTGGGGGTCATTCATGGACAAGCACAGAACCATAAAAAATTTGAGTCATATCATAGGCTAGTTCTTAGCTAAGGTTGAACAAGGCACTCCCCTGCTTCTTATTTTAGCTCTCATACTAGAGAAAAATTGGTGAAACAAAAAGCTGGTTCTTTGAAAAGATTGATAAATTTAAAAAACAGACCAAGAAGAAAAACACAAGTTACAAATATCAGGAATGAAAGAAGGGATATTACTATAGATTCTATGGACATTAAGGATAATAAGGAAATGTAAATGAACAACTTTATGCCAAAAATCCAACAACGTAGATGATGTAGAAAAAATTTCTTGAGATAAACAAATTACCAAAGCTCACTCAAGAATAAATACATGATTTGAATAGCCCTACATCCCTCAGTGAAATTTAACCCATAGTTTAAAACTTTTCTGGAAAAAAAAAAAAAAGCCAAGTTCAGATGGTTTCACTGGTGAATTCTATCAAACAGTTAAAAAAGTAAACTCTTGAAGAAAATATGAGGAGGAACCCCTCCACAAGTCATTTGGTGAGGCCAGCATTAACTTTATATGAAAACCAAAGAAATAATAAGAAAGAATAACTTCAAATATCACTCATGAACATATCTACCATTTTTGCTAAAATTAAAAATTCTCATATATTGCTGATAAGAATACAGAATAGTACAGCTACTTTGGAAAATATTTTGGTAGTTTGTTAAAGTTATATATATTTATCACATTGTTCATCAATTGTATTCCTAGGTATTAAGCCAAGAAAATTGAAAACATATTTCTAAAGGATCCTAAACATGTGAATGTTCATAGCAACTTTATTTCACAAGAGCAAAAAACTGGATATAATTCAGATTTTCAACAAGTAAATGGATAATGAAAACACATTGGTCCAAAACTTCTGGGATGCAGCAAAAAGCAGTTCTAAGAAGGAAGTTTATAGCAACACAAGCCTACCTCCAAGAAGCAGGAAAAATCTCAAATAAACAATCTAACCTTGTCCCTAAAGGAGCTAGAAAAAAGAATAGCAGACAAAACCTAAAACCAGCAGAATGGAAGAAATAATAAAGATTAGAACAGAAATAAATGATATAAAACTAAAAAACAATAGAACAGATCAATGAAACTGGGAGCTGGTTATTTGAAAAAATCAATAAAATTAATAAACCTCTAGCTGGACTAATCAAGAAAAAATGAAAAAAGACTCAAAATCACAAGTGAGGGGAAGATGGCAGAGGAGTAGGAGACCTAAATTTCGTCTGGTCCCAGGAATTCAGCTAGATAGGGATCAAACCATTCTGAACACCTATGAACTCAACAGGACATCGAAGAAAAGAATAGCAGCAACTCTCTGAACAGAAAAGTGACCACTATCTGGAAGGTAGGACAAGCGGAGAAGTGAATCCAACGTGATATTCAGAAAGATAGATGGCGAGGAAGAGGGCCTCCATGGGCCGCTTCTGGCAAGTGATAGAGCAGCAGAGCACAATATCAGAACTTTTAGAAGTTGGCTCTGCTGGGGCGCCTTGGTGGCTCAGTCGATAAGCATCTGCCTTTGGCTGAGGTCATGATCCCAGGGTCCTGGGCTCGAGCCCTGCATCGGCTCCCTGCCCAGCGGGAGGCCTGCTTCTCCCTCTCCCACTCCCCCTGCTTGTGTTCCCTCTCTCACTGTGTCTCTCTCTGTCAAATAAAAAATAAAATCTTAAAAAAAAAAAAAAAGTTGGCTCTGCTGAGGGACATCATGCCAGTGGCTAAGCAGGGGGTGGAACCCTCTCTGGGACAGTGTGGTCTCAGGACCCTCGGGTCACAGGAAGACAGAGGGTGCCTGAGTGTGGCTGAGCTCCCAGGTATCGGAGCAGGGAATCCGGCTGCAGAGATGGAGCCGAGGCGCGGGCTCTCAGCGCAGGTTTGCCATAAACCATGATCCGAGGCACAGTCGAGCCACTGCTCTTCCAGCAGGGACCCAACAAGCAGCAGATCCGGGGAGACTCCCCTTCCTCCCCGGGGAAGAGTGGCGCGGGAGCCCACTGCAGGAATCTGTTGGGTTTGGAGACTCCACACGGGGTGGTGTGCCAGAGATAGAAACACTCAGTGACAGGCCGGGTGAGCACAAAGTGCAGCTGGAGACTGGGAAGACGGGAGTGACTGACTGCTTTTCTCTGGGGGCTCACTGAGGAGTGGGGACCCGACTTCTTGGCTCCTCTGGGGCAGAGATTGGGAGGCCACCATTTTCACTCTAGTCCTCCAAAGCTCTACAGAAAGCTTTCAGGGAACAAAAGTTCCTGAGAGCAAACCGGAGCAGATTACTTAGCCCAGACCGGCAAGGGCGGGGCAATTCCACCTCTGGCAAAGACATTTGAAAACCATGGCAACAGGCCCCTCCCCCAGAAGATCAGCAAGAACAGCCAGCCAATACCAAGTTTACCGATCAATGAGAATGGCAGAACTCCAGTGCTAGGGGAATAATGCACATAGAATTCATGGCTTTTTTACCATGATTCTTTAGTCTTTCAAAGTTAATTTTTTTTTAACTATCTTTTTTTTTTTTGAATTTTTCTTTTTCCCTTTTTCAACCAACATTTTATCAATCCCTTTTTTAAAAAATCTTTTTTATTTTTCATTTTTAGAGTCATATTCTATCCCTTCATAGTAGCTAACCTTATTTTTGGTATATATATGTAAGTTGTTCTCTCTTTAAAATTTTGGGATACAGTTTCTTCTAACAGATCAAAATATACCCTAAATCTCTAGTGTATGGCTTTGTTCTAGTCTCCTGTCTGATCACATTCTCTCCACTTTTTTTTTTAAATCCTCTTCTTTCTTTTTCAACCAACTTCTTATCAATTCCTTTTATAAAATCTTTTATAATTTTCATCTTTACAGTCATATTCCATCCCTTCATCATAGTTACCCTTATTTTTGTACATATATAAGCTTTTCTTTCTTTAAAATTTTGGGAGGCACTGTCTTCTAACAGACCAAAATACACCCAAAATCTAGTGTGTGGCACTGATCTATGCACCAGCCTGATCATATTTGATCATATTCTGGTTTTTCTGTTTGTTTGTTTGTTTTTATCTTTTTCTTTTTCTTTTTTTTTCCTTTTTTCTTTCTTTCGCTTTCTTTTCCCCCAGTTTCAGGTCTCTTCTGATTTGTTTAGTGTATATTTTGGGGGGGTCGTTGTTACCCTGTTAGCATTTTGTTCTCTC